TGTCTTTCTCTGAGTCTATCAAAGAGCCGTGGAATGTTAAGGATTTGAGTAAGGGACTCAGAGATGAAAGGAGGCCCTGACAGAGCGACTGGGTGGATATTTGATCATGGTGGGGGAGGGGGAAATGAAAGGAATTAGAAGGAAGAGATGAGGCTGGGATTTCACTTTCTGTTCTAGGATTAGAACGGCAACAAACACATTCCTTCAGACTCATAATAGCACCTTGCACAGGGGGTGGGACACTCTTGGAATCCCAACCACTAGGGAGACTACGCAGGAAGATTGGCAAGTGTGGGTGCACTCAGGGCAACTCAGCAAGACCTTGTCTGCAAATAAAAGAAACAAACAAACAACAAGGTCTGTGATAGAGCTCAATGGCAGAAAAAAAATTTAGTATGCGCAAGACCTTGGTTCTGAGCATGCGCACGCACGCACCAGCAATAGCGCTGCCTTAAACAGTCATTAGTACCTGGTCACGTTCTCCCTTCTGTTGTTCCTAGGAAAGGCTGTTCCAAGTACGTTTATTCTTGATATATCTGAACACAAAATAGAATTCTCTCTATCTGAGCCAGCATCAGCACCACACCACTAAGATTGAGTGAATGAAAACCAAACACGGAGAGCATCCGGCTTTCCCGGGTAGCAGTGGTCCCCATGGTAACAAGGACAGAAGCAGGCTGCTTGTGGATACATATGCTACAGTGAGTTAGTGTGACAAACACAAACAGGTTCATCGAGTGTGGAAGACATAGTTAGACTTGTCCATTTGTTTGTGGTTGGGCTCAGGAGTAACATGCACACATATGTCAGTCAGCGGGGTCTTTCCGTCATGCACCAAACCATGCTCCAACTTTGAGAAACACGCATTGCTATCCTGATACAGCAAACACTAGTGTCAAAGTATCTGAGAATTGGGGGAAAGTGGGGTCATTCGTCTCACAGTGCAGAGGTCACATGATGACAAGAACTGGGGCGTCACGATTTGAGGGATAATACACTGCCAGTTGTCCTAAGTAGTGCGCTGTGGGCTCCTAAATCAGACTATTCTCTAGGATCCGGTCCCTATTATCTCTGTGTGAATTCTATTAAGCAGTTTCCTGGAGTGCACCCTTTGGAAGTGTAGATTCTGTGTGCTGAAGTCTTTTCATACTTGAGGCTTCCTCAACAGCCTACAGAAATAACCCTTCAGAAATAGAGCTGGCTGGCTATCATCCTGCCTCCCTCTCCTGACTGCTATTTAATGCTCTGTCTGCACACACACAGGGCTTCCTTTTGTCATCTGAGGGCTTGTTTTTGTAAAAAGCTCCCACGCAGTCAGGCTTCCTGTAAGAGTTCGGTTCAGTTCAACATCCTCACTCCTCAGCGGTGACAGCAGAAAGGAGAATGGAGTTTTACTCTGCTGGAAACAGGATAGCCTCTGGGCTCCTCTCTTTACTTTTCCACAGTGTTAAATACATATGTAGCTACTTTTTGTAGTATTAATAAGCTGATAGGTAGTGTAGACTTTTTTGTAGAAACTTTTCATTCATAAATGGTAACTTCTGAGTTTTAGTTTGTTAGTTTGTTAGGGACACACATGCGCCATTATCAATAGTTGTTCCCATGGAAACTGGCTTCAAGTGTGTTCTAGCTTTTACTTACTTGTACATTTTGGGGGAACCAAGTTAGATGTCATTAGACATGGGGAAATAAGGTTATTAAATAAAATTTGACCAAGAATCAAATACAATGATAGTTAAGGGCTCTATCATATAGAGTAAGTGGTTAAACAGGGAATTTGATTACAAGATTTTAAGATAACCCCATTCTTCAAGATTTTAATGAATTTTTTGGTTACCATACAAATAAGTGTGTTTTGCTATGACATCTTAATTTCTTGCATGGATGAAAGCTGTCTCTTTGTAGATCTGTCCCTCATGTGATGGTGAGGATCACAGGCCTGGAAGCACAGGCTTGCTCCGGAGCCCAGAGTCTGAGTTCTCCACAGCTGTGAGAGGGAGGGTTGGCGCTCATGACTTAGGGCTATAACCAGAAATGGGTCCTCCCAGCTAAACAGGCTCCGCACTGGCTAGGAGAGTCACAAATGGCTCCACATTCCATTGCAATGTGCTTTTGCTGACTGTACTGGTCAGGAAACGTGTTTGGATGACCGACTTCTGTGGTGGTGGCGGTGCGAACACGCTAACTTCAGGTAAAGTGACACACGTTTATGCCCTTCCTAGCTGGGGGTTGTGTGAATGATCTCCACGGGCTTGGCGGGTAGGGTAGAGACTTCCAGTTACACCTGACGAGTTTTAAAATTTGTTTTTATTATTTTAAAATTATGTGTCTATGTGTATGTGTGCACAGGTAGGGGGCTATGTGTCCATAGAGTTCAGAAGGAGGGTATCAGATCTCAGGGAGCTGGAGTTGCAGGTGGTTGTGAGATGCCATGTGAGAGCTGGGAACCAAACTTGGGTCCTCTGCAAGAGCAGCAAGGGCTCTTGACTGCTGAGCCATCTCTCCAGCCCCTAAATTTGAGGATGTTTTAAAGGTTGACTAGGCCATTTGATTATATATGACAACTCTGACTACAGGACTTGAAGGGCATCCTTACAGAACACGGGACAGAACGACCAGATAGAAGATATAAGGAAAGGTGTCCAGGCCACTTGGCGTCACCCGCTCTATAACGTTTAGTGTTCTGGGATGATGCAGCTTTTACTTTCTTGTGGCGTTTGGTGATTTTGTTTTACGGTACTGGGGATCAAACCCGGGACTTGTATAAGCCAGGCACATGCTCTGCCACTGAACCACACCCCCAGCCTCATTGGAGGCACTTTTATTCATGTATCTATCACACCATCTGACTTTCCAATCATTTTATTAGTAACTGACTGTTGATCATCAACGCCAGTTAACTGCCATCCTTGGCTCTATTTTTAAACATCCTATAGCACAAGAACAGGAATACAAAAGTTCCTGGAGTCAGGAGTTTTAGATACAAAAATGCTTCTAGCTTGGTTTGACTTTTTGTTAGTCCAGAAAATGAATTACCTAAGTAGGATGGATGGTGCAGAAGGAGCCAAGGACACAGAATGTGCCTGGAGACAGTAGCCAAGGTGATGACTGGAGCTTGGTTTTTACCTCCCCCTCTTCCTTCTTTTTCTTTTCTTCTTCTCTCATACACTACATCCCAACCACAGTTTTCCCTCCCTCCACTCCTCTCAGCCCCCTACCTCCTCTCTCCCCCAATCTACTTCTCCTCTGTTTCCCTTCAGGAAAGAGCAGGCCTCCAGGGGTATCAACCAGGCATGGCATATCAAGTTACAATAAGGCTAGGCACATACCCTCATATCAGGATTGGACTAGGCAGTCCAGTGGGAGGAAAAGGGTCCCAAGAGCAGGCGAAGAGTCACAGATGCGCTTCACTCCCACAGTTACGAGTCCCACAAGAACCCCAAGCTACACAGCCATGGAATATATGCAGAAGACTCAGCGCAGACTCATGCAGGCTCCGTGATTGCCACTTCAGTCTCTGCGAGCCCCTAAGAGCCCTGCTTAGTTGAGTCTGTGGGCCGAGTTTTTGTGGTGTCCTTGACCCCTCTGGCTCCTACAGTCCTTTCTCTCTCTCTTCCTAGGGGTTCCCAGAGCTCTGCCTAATGTTTGGCTATAGGTCTCTGGATCTGCTCCCATCGGTAGGTGGAGGTAGCCTCTCTGCTTCTTTTTCTGTGACATACAGCTGGTAAAGCTTTGGAAAGAACCTGGGCTCCATCCACTGGTGTTTCTAGGAACGTCCTGGAATTCAGAAGGGTCTGAAGGCAGCTTGCTATACCATAACGTAGAATTCTACTTTGTTGGGGCCTTTGAAGAACAGCAGCAGAGGTCAGACTTCTGCCTTGTTTTTTGACACAGAGTCTCACTGGCCTGTAACAGTAAACTGGCTGACCAATGGGCCAGAGATTTGTCTGTCTCCACCTCTCCATGCTAGAACTACAAACCATGCTACCATGCCTAGCTTTTTTTCGTTCCTGGGTTATGGGGATGGAACTCAAGTCCTCGGGTTACAAGGCCGGCACCTTCCTGAGTCATCTCCCTGGCACTCCAGTGCACTTTCCTGGCTTCCTTTTCAGTCTGAAGCCAAAGATCATGTCTGTGATTCTTTTAAAAAAGTAAACAAAATGGTGCCACAACATGAAGAGACCAACTGACAGCAGCCCCTCAAGAGGCCAGGTCAGTCCTTTATCCTTTACAGCCCTAGCCAAGTCTGGCTCCCTTCATTTTGCTGCTGACTTGAACTCTGGAGACTGCAGAGCTGCTCAGCTGTCTTTATTCTGAAGCAGGTGACCACCTGTTGCCAGCCACAAACCTGAAGATCGGTGGGCAAGCAACCTGGATCAATGGCAACGTGGTGGCCACATGGGCAGAGTGCGTAAGTGACCTTCAGAAGTGGAATCGGAAGTGTTAGACCTTAAAGGGGAAGGCTTAGAGGGGCCATATAACCTCATAGTGGGCCACAGTCCCGTATCCTGATGCTGCCTTAACAGTGTGCAACACAGGACGTAGAAATCAAGACTCAGGTAGAGTAGATTTAGTTTTAAAAAATCTCATCAGGGAAAGCTAGGGCAAACTAGCATTCATCGGAAATGACTCTTTCAAACAGTTTCTATAGGCAAAGAAACTCTAGGAAGAAGGGTGTCAGTGCATGGTGGTGCATCCATCTTAGCCCATGGTCACCAGGCACAGAATCAGCACCTAAATGGGTCTGTGGTGAGCGTCCTACAGAAGCCAGGTTTACCCCCCAACACCCTTCACACTCTCCCCCTGACACAACCACTTTCCATCACCTTTCTCTCCCCATTTCCTTTCTTTCCAGCCTATCATGTTCTCTTCTCATGTGTTATAATGATCTAAGTGAGAGAGAATTGCGTGAGTAGAAAGGCCTCTCCACACTGGAGTAAACGGCCACTTTTAAATATATATATATAACTTAATTTCAGTGATGTCAAAACCACAACCAGTTCAAAGCAGAAATTTAATTCAAATAAAGATCAAACAAAATGGATGTTTACATTTATCTAAATATTTGGTCCACTAATGAATATTATTATCTTTTCTTTCCATTATGTGTTAATTGTAGATATTCAAAAGCTGCACTATTAATTTCCCATGAATAAAAGGTAAAAATAGCAACAGTGTTTAGCTCCCATCCCCAACCCCAGGTGGCTCATTGTGCAAGTCAGAGGTTGCAGCTCTCTTTGGTGTCTGGGGTCATGGGCAGCAAGGCAGAAGAAATGGCTTGAGTGTCCACGGATCTGCTGCTGCTGGCTCCGTGGCCTCCATGGTGAAGCACATTTTGAGCATCCACTGAGAAGGCAGATGCACTGTGTTTCTGAAGATCACAAGGCTTGTCTTGGGTTAAATACTCCGTGGTTTTGATGATGCTTATGAGTCTGTTTCCACCTGAAGCCTGCCTAGATCACACTCAGTAACTTTCCACCACTTAACTCCTCTGTTGGTATATCAACACGAGAACACGAGAGTGTGCCATTCAAAGTAATCATAGCTAAGTGACTCTGGAGACTGTTGTGTTTCAAACCAGCCAGCCATAGAACTATTTAGTAAATATTATGTTGCAATATGATTTATTGTACTTTTTTAATAGAGGAGTTCATATGCAGGCGATATGTCGTCAAGGCTGGCCTTGAACTCCTGATCCTTGTGCCTCTGCCTCCCACGCGCTGGGGTTACAGGCATGTACCAGCACACCTGGCCCATCCATTGGTTTTGAAGGCACTATGTATTGAAAATAAATCAAATAATCAGATATTCTGAACTTGGCCAGCAAAGATGATTTTGAGTCTGACACATCCTCATTGTACCGTCTACAACAGAAGCAGGTCTAGTTACTGAGTCGCTGGTATCAGTCGGATTCAGATGGCACCAAGGTGGATGTGTGAGGAATTTCATAATGCAATAGAAAAGACACCACAAACACCCCTGTGGCGTGGTTTTTCCTATTGATTCTACTATTATATACAACACAATATACAGGATCAGTGGCTAGAAGGGCTAGTGTCTAAACAGGCAAACAGCTAAGTTTTTGAAGAGTGGCATGAAGTCCATGAAATCAAGAACAGAAAAAATACTTCTGAATGATTGAAGATAACAGTCTCTCTCTCTCTGTCTCTCTCTCTCTGTCTCTGTGTGTGTGTGTGTGTGTGTGTATTTATTTGTGTGCATGCACATATGTATGAGTATATGTGTGTGTGTGCATGCGTGTGTCCATGCCTGGAGTCCAGAGGAATAGGTAGCTGTCCTCTTCCATCAATCCTGCTTTATTCCCCCGAGATGGGGTTTCATATTAACTGAACCTGGAGCTCATCTGGCAACCAGGACGCTGCAGCTGTCTTCCTATTCCAGCTTCCCACAGCACTGGGGTTACCGGTCTATGCAATCCTCCATGGCTCTTTAGATGGGTGCTGAGGATTTGAACCGGTGACCGCATGCTCTCACCACTGGGCCATTTCTCCTGCCCTAAATCCTCCCTTTATTAATAGAAATTATTCTGCAAACTTTTCCTCAATGAGTCTCTGACTCTCACCACACTAACTCAGTTCCAACTCAGAGATTTTATTTTCACATTTTGTTGTTGCTGTTCAAAGGAAGAACACTTGCAGATGTGGCCACATGAAGATATGGCTGGGTATGCGGCAGTTCACACCAACAGCTGGATCCAGTTAAGTCTCCCTAACATCTCTGAGTCAAAGTGTTCATCTTCTTATAAAATCAAATAAACATGAAGGCACTTTCATACGTGTGACATCTGATGCCAGAGGCTTGAGATTGTGTTTGCAGAGTCAGAGCATATGTATGCATTTTGTATGAGGCATATGTGTGTGTGTATGTATGTTCATGTGTACGTGGGTGCATGTGTGTGTGTGTGTTGCCTGCACATTCGTGGTTGCATGGCACTTGAGTAAACTTACAGTGTGCTCTGATTTGAATAAAAGGAGCACACACCTTTTACATATTTACCCATTCCTGGCCACATATTCTCTCTCCCCCAAAATGCTGGCATTAAATTCTAGTATTTTCAGAGGCAAAATGTCCCCTTTGTAAGGCTGAGTTGTAGGAGGTATGTTTAGGCTCTTGCATGAGGGGTCCTCTTGCTTACAAACACCTCTTCTCCTCTCCCCTTCTTCCTGTTATCACCGGCCTCAGGAACTGCAGGATCTCTGCAGACATCCTGTACTGTGACACAGCTTCAATTTTCTTTTGTGAGGACTATAATGATCAAGCCACATACTTATCAGGGCTGTGACAATCACAGCCCTCGGGGAGCTGTTTTATTCTTAAGACATCAGTGATTTTGTGTAATTTCTTTGTGGTCAAGGTATACTCACAGGGAAAGACTGAAATGTCTGAGAGATAGACTGTCAACCCCGACAGGAGGGCGGATCTGCCAGTCATATGAACACAGAACTCACACAGTCATTTTTTTTTCTCATATGGATCTAGAAAAATGACACTGACAACATTGCCCGAAGCAGAGCTTATAATACTGATGGTTCTGTAAGCCTGGCCGAAACCTGATTGTGTATGTTGCCAGTATGTCCCGAAATGGTGCTGTTTGGCTTGTCTGACAGATATTTTGAAGGCAAAAAGAGGCTGGTGCATGCTTCCCCCAAGAGTAACGGGGATGACAGAATCAAGATACAGACATACTGCAGAACTCTTAGATTCTGGCTTGATTGTTTTCACTCCACACAGTTAAGTCCACTGGAAAATGTCAAAATGAAATGAATGTATTTTTCAAGCTTGAAGTCCTTGCTTTCCCAACACTTTTGGGTCATTCCCAGATAGCCGTCACTGCAAATACAACATACATACTTAAACACGAGAAGGAGCAGGCTCTTGGGCCGTGATACGAGCAAATACTGAATCACGCCTTAGACCCAACCTACTGACGATGCCCTGGATAGGTGGATTAAATAAATACTTCAGATTATAAGCTGATGTTCTTCTACAGACATCCATTTCATTCTGTCAACATGGCTACCTGTCTGTCACCCGAACAGGAATCTCCTCCACCTTCCACACTCGGTTTTTCAGTATAGAGCTCCATTTTAGGGGGGCGAAAATCTGAATTTGAGTGTTCACTCTTGACCAGGCACTCTGAGGAAATCTTTTTATATGTAGAGAGGTTTATTCAGCCACCAGAACAAAGAGAAAGCTGTGCCATGAATATCTCCGTGGTTTGGTATCAGGTCCTCCTGGCCCATGTTCACAGCAGCCGTTGGTTTTTGAGAGGAGCCCTGGTGTGGAGGCAGCTCTGGGGGAGGGCCCAGAGGCCAGCCTGGGTCAGACATTGCTCTGCTGCAGCAGCAGGCTCCTCAGCTCGCGCTCCCTCTGGTCCTCCTGTCTGTACTGCTCTTCCAGCTTCTGTTTCTCGGAATCCGCACAGTAGAAGGTACAATCCGGGCTCTTCCGGATCTGCTCAAACTGGCTGAAGTCAGCCACGTACTTTCCATTTTTGGAGAGAGAAACCACAGGCACAAACTCAAAGCCCCAGTAGATCTCCTCTGGGATGTAAGATGTTCGACTCTGGCAGACGGCGCTGGTGGATTCCACGGTGGCATTGAGAAGGACCACCAGTTCAAACTCCTTTTCCTTTAGGTTCTGGGGAGTGAGGTCCCGCAGGGGGCTTGTTTCATCCAACACGTGGTAGAAGGTCATGGGCAGAATGAGAAAGGGGCTCTCAGAAGAGGAGTCCACGTGGAATTTGACGGTGGCCTGGTTGAGGAGGATGCGCTCTCCCTCTTTGGTGACATGCGTCTGGAGGAGTTTTCCCGAGAGCTGGCACTGGATCAGGAGGCTCTTTCTCATGTTGGCCACTTGGATGACCAAGCACAGCTTCCCGTTCTGCTTGCTGATGACAGCGCAGTGGCTGAACTTGATGGTCTCGGCTCGCTTTTTGGGTCTTGCGATCTTGGCCAGGAAGGTACCCGTAATGAAGATCTCAATCAATGTGGTGATGACCAGTTGGGCAACCAAGAGGAAAATGGCGTGAGGGCACTCCTCCGTGATGGAACGGACCCCGTAGCCAATGGTTGTCTGGGATTCCAGGGAAAAGAGGAATGCTCCCGTGAGAGAATCCACCTTCATAATGCAGGGTGTGTGGTTAGAATTAGGGTCCTCGAGTTCTAAGTCGCCGTGAAGGAAAGCTATGGCATAGTAGACCACTCCAAACAGAAACCAGGTCATCACAAATGTGGCCGCAAACAGGGTGAGTTTGTACCGCCACTTCATGTCGATGACCGTTGTCCACAGGTCCTGAAGGTAGAGGAGATAGATGCCATCTACTTTGTCAATTCTCACATTGCTGTGTCCACTCTTGGACATGACACGAGGCCTATGCGCCTTGAGTCCAACTCCATTGGCGTGTTTCACAAGAGGGGCACTGGACATGCCAATGTGGATGGCATCCATTTTCTGGCTCCTGGGACCACCTAAAGAAATAACAAAGATGTGTCTTACAATGTTTTTGGTGTGACTTCCAGAAAGTAGAAAAGGTACTAGCAGAATCCCGTTGTTATATTTTGGCTGCGACCTCCTACCACGTGCAGTAACTGCGCCCTGTTACCATGTAGAGTAAGGCTTGGATGCTCAGTGGTCCCTTGGTATCTGTGTAAATTTTAAGTGTCAGCTCAACACAATCTGAAATCACATGGAAGAGAGTCTCAGTGAGGGATTGTCTGGATCCAGTTGGCCTATGGGTATGTCTTAGTTGAGGTGGGAAGAACCACCCACTCTAAGAACCTTCCCATTTCTTGGGAAGGGCATCCTGAAGTATAGGAGAGTAGAGAAAGTGGATTAAGGCAACTCTGCCACCCTTGCTCGCTCTTTTTCCAGTGTGGATATGATCTCTCCAGCTGTACCAAGCTCCTATCTCTGTTACTTCCCCTCAATTATGAACTGTAATCTGGTATTTTGAGATAAAATAAATGCTTTCTCCACCTGCTTGTATAAGTGTGTTGGGAGGTTGTGCCTACTGAGGTCAGAAGCCTGAAGAGGGAAGAGTGTGATGCCTGACTCGGGTGCTGGCAATGAACTCCAGTCCTCTGCAAGAGCAATAAGCTGTCTTAACTGCCGATCCATCTCTGCGGAGTCCCGCTAAGTTTTTTTAGTCGGGGTACTCTAACATGGCACCAGAAAGCAAAGCTAAAACAGTTTCCAGGGGTCCTGTTTCTGGCCACCAACCTATGGATACAAAATCCTTGAGTGATCATGACTCCTCTATGTAAACGGCAAATTATCTGCATGTGATCTGTGCATCTTAGTCTCCATACTTCAAACCTTGTCTAGACAATTTAGGAAACTTAACAGGATGAGCATAACACACAGAGAAGTAGCCACTGCGCTGTCTGCTGGGGAATCACCGCAAGAACAATGTCGGCATGTGCCTAGCGCAGGTGCAACCGTGCCTTGTACCTTCAACCCTCAGTAGCTCAAACCTGCAGACAGAGAACTCTGGAGGCAGGTGGACAGATGAGTGTGGAGATGCGTAAGGAAGTGGAACTGTGAAGGCCACACCAGCTGGCTCGTGCCAGTGTGATGAGGGCAGCGGACGAAGGGCTTGGGGCTTTGGGGGAGAGCTAGCATGACTGAGAGATGTCCCTGCAGCCGATTAGCTGTGTGGCTCAGCACAAACCTTCAACCGCTCTAGACTGCAACTCTTTCATTTTTAAGTGGGAGTGAGTCCTTAATGCCTGTGTGGGCTCCCATCTCAGACCCAACTTCCGTCCCTGTTTGCTTTTTGTTACCTGGTGATAAGACACTGATGAAAAGCAACTTTTAGAGGAAAGAGTTTATGTCATCTTATGGGTTACAGGTCACCATGAGAAAGATGGGGCACAAACTCAAAGCAAGAAGTGAAGCAGAGACTATGGAGGAACTCTCTTTACTGGCTTGCTTCCTCCATCTTGCTCGACTGCCTACCTTTCTTACACAGCCCACACCCTCCTGCCTGGCGGACGGCACTGCCCACAGTGGGTTTGACCCTCCAACATAAATCATCAGTCAATGAAAGGGCTCATGGCTACGCCTACAGGTTAGTCTGGTGGAGGCAGTTCCTCGATGGAGATCGCTCTTTTCCAGGTAACTGTGTCTGTGTCCTGTGGCCAAGACATGACCACTCAGACATGACAAGGTGTTGAGATGGTCAGGTCAGCATCCAAACAAAGCCTTATTCTAAAAACAGAATCGCTTTCTCTCGACAACACAAAAGGTTATGCGAATGCCTTACGAAATGTTACCCACATTTATTTATAGTCCGCTTTAATGACTTACCATGATAATACTTATAACGTATTTGACCAGATCCAGAACTGATCTTACATGTTAGACCAACCACCTATAAAATAATTTTGGTATAGCAATCGAGAATATTACTGCATATCTTCAGAGCCAAAGTGCTATTAATTCACTTTTAGACCTTCCTTTTAAATCACATACTTTGGAGCAATTCATGCCTCCCTCCTTCAATGAATAACTTACTATCTATAGTTTCTCCTGGTTGCCATGACATTTGGGAAAAGTCAAATTATCAAGCAACAAACGTCCCACTAACAGCAAGTAATTAAACTTTCTTAACATCTCATGCAGGTTATTCTTAGACAAGTACCACCAATGTCATTTTAGGTGTGATATTTAGGTATACACACAAGTCTGCCCTGTTCTTTAGATCAAAATAGAACCAGCCGGAGGAGTCTATTTTAAGAACAAACGAGAAAAGGATATGTAGGGTATCTAACGTAACAGCAGAAAAAAAATAAATAAGAATTTAAAAACCTACCCAGAAGCAGCACTGGGCTCCCAGCTCAGACCCAGGGAGGCTCTGCTCTGCCTCAACACTCAACAGTCGGAGGAGAACTGTGAGACCACAGAGCATCTTATAGCACCTGCCTGCTGCCTAAGATAGCTGACCCCGGCTTTCCACGAAAAAGATAACGTTGCCAATGATAGAGTAACTCTACCTGGCAGGAAAATTTTTTTTAACCCTACCTCACTGGTATTTTAAGAATTGGAGGGGAAACCCCCCCTTTGAAAAGCAATAGATGAAAATGCAGTGGTTTATGATTCAGATGCTAATCTTTCTGGTGGGGGGGGCATTATGCCAATAACAGTTTTACAATGAATGCAGACAGATCCTTCCATGGAAACAGCAGAGGCTCCCAGTGGGGGCCAGCACCTGCTCAGGATGCAAAATGGAGCCACTGGGCCATTTAATCTTCCTGTTTCGTTATGAAAGGCATGTCTCTTACTAAATATTCCTTACTGAAATTAGAATTTTTTTCTTGGAAAGTCACTGTTTCGATTTCATTGCAAAGAAAGGCCATACGCGCGTTGCTCAGAGCTTTAACTTCTTGAAACCTGCTTCACCTTTCCTGGGATCTGCTATTTAGAAGCCGGGACATCGCAGAGAGCGCGTACCATCTTCCTTCTTGTTCCCTGGACTACACTTCTTAGTTCATAATGAGAGAAGGGAAAAAGAAGCCCATTGAGGCTTGGAAAGAGCCTGCTGGCCTGCCTGAAATGGGGACAGGCTGGTGACAGGAGACCCGCTAAGGATAAGCCCAGCCTGCATGCAGGTGACAGTTATACAGACATACACAGAGGAAAGAAAACGGGGCGTGACCTCGCGTGCCGCGCTGTCCACAGAAACCAAAACAAGGTTTTCCAGGACAAGTGAGGCACGAGTGTCCTGCGCACGGAAGAGATGCTCGCCATACAGCATTCTGGGGGGGACGGGACTGTGGCCTTGTGCCCCGGGAAAGTAGCATTGTGGGGCTTCTGTTTGTCCCGTGCCCTCGCTGGGGGGCTGACCTGGCCTGGGTGAACAGCCTGCTTTCCTGTTTCTGTGAGCACTTCCTGGCTGTAAGCCTGAGCACCTGGTTCTGGGGTCAGTGGCCTGAGCCCTGCTTCCGGGCAGTCAGGGTTTGAGGCCTGGGGCCTCTGCAAGGGCAGAGTTCAGAAAGTGCATGGTTCCCTTTCTGAGGGGCGTGGGTCTCGGGATAGCCCGTCTCCTCTGTCCTCCAACCCCAGTCCCCGGTCTAGAACCCTCTGCCCTCCAAACCCTCCTCTGCTACCTGGTCACTCACTCTGTAAGTCAGGAATCTTCTGCAGGGCAAATGGCACGTCCTCGCTCCCCTTCACCCACCTGGCTACCATGGGGTCCTGCTATGGCCTGGAAGAAAGAGGGGCAGACACGTGCTGTTTACAGGTAGGTCCAGAGCACCCAGCAGAACTGGCCCCTGAAGATCCCCTCAAGGCGACGGGTGTGGCATTTACCTCCGAATCCCTGGCCATCTGGCACAGTGCCCAGTACAGGCTAAATGGCCCAAAACTTTCAAGAATGAAACCGTTGCTACCACCACAGCCTTGCTATGAATCCAGCCCCTGGAGGGAGCTCATTGACAAAAGGCGCTGGAGAGAAAGGGTCAGCCCACCCCCACCGGGGCCACAGTGATCTGAGCAGGCGGCAGGAAGGGGAAGTGCGGAGGAAGTAAACAGCGCACACTGGAGGGGGAGAGTCCAGAATAGCCCCACCGCCGGGGGAAACGCATCGCTCCTGTTGACTCAGAGAGAGAGGTAAAGAGGATCTCAGCACTGTCTCAGAGAGTGGCAGACCATAGAGAAGACGGAAGCCTAGAGGGGAAGGCTGGGCTGGTGCTGGGGAGGAAGGAGGTGCAAAGGCTGTGGGAGACACAGCCATGCTCTTCCCAATACACAAAATTCCCTGTCCTGTCTGCTCTGTGTGACCTGGTCTAAACTCAACTTAAGGTGCTTCACATTCTTCTTTTTGAAATAGTGCCAGTCATCTATCAAACGGTTATCAATCATCTATCATTTTGATTTTATCTACTATCATCTACCTATAATTTATGCCACAGTACCTATCAGATAACCTATTAATCTTCTATCTATCTGTGCTTCACCTACCACCTGGCTACGACCTACGTCCTCCATCTGTCCACCTTGCCTGTTATGCATTCTTTCTATAGATCTTGAGACCCGTGTATGGGCCTCACTCAGGTACACTCACTCCTTATTGCTGATCAGCCATTATTTCCATAGTTGTATAGTTGATATGTCCCCTCCTGCTAGCTCCCTGAGCCTCCTCCAGAACAGATCTCAGTGTGTCCACTGATTGGTTGGAGGGCAACCCCTTGCTCTTTGCTTTCTATGCCCAGTAACCTGGCGGTTTGCTTCATTGACTTTATACATCATGACATGCTCTTGATTTACTTTATATGTTTTTCGGCAGCCTCCTCTCAAATTGTGTGCCTCTCGGGTGCTGGAGAGATGGTTCTGTGGTTAGGAGCACTTGCTGCTGTTTCAGAAGACCCGAGTTCTGTTCTCTGCACCCACAGGGCAGCTCACAACCATCTGTAACTCCAGTTTCAGGGCTTTGGATGCCCTCTTCTGGCCTCCAAGAGTACTGCATGCACGTAAACTCACATTAAATACATACACAGCACTGAAAACAGAAAGCTGCTTCTAGCACCCCATTTTATACGCTATAATGACATAGCCTTTGACCCTTTTTCTTAGTGATCCTACAATTCACATGGTTTATCTGCTGCTGAGACATCAATAGTTTTCTACAAGCTAAACATGGGTAGGAAGATAACAAGGGATTGCCATATGATTCCCTGTCTCTTAATCCTCCAGATAGGCAGTACTCCACTAAAACCATACGCACAGTGTTGGTGTCTGTTAATTACATTTAGTTTCTCTGGTTTTTCATGCTATCGAAGCTTACAGGTTGGTATCATACTTCTCACAACCGTGGTCTCTTCACTGGAGTCCTTAAAATACTGAATAGAGAAGTCAGGATGGCCCTTTCCTACTTCCAGTCAAGAAAGACATGGGGCATGACTCTGTTAGTTTGTTCTGTAGCATACCATTTGATTTCTGAAGATAAAGAAAAGAAAAGTCCAGTGTGTGATTGCAGGTAAGCAGTAGGCGGACAGCCGGAAGGCTCTTGGCTGCGTGAAGAGTAGATGGTGGCTGCTCTGGTAGCGCAGCAGATGAGACAAGGACGGCAGGGGACTTGGAAAGAGTCATCCGGAAGAGACGTCTTCTGACAGAGAGGCACGAGCTCTCGTGAGAATGGAAGACCTGGGAAACCACATAGAACACAGAGGGGCTTTGGAAGAGAACAGCCTGTGAGGTTCCTGGAAGCTGTGGCCGTTTAGAAGAAACACGAAGGAAATAGCAGGGAGAAGTAGGGATAGAAGAAGCATCCCGAGTAGAGAAGATGCAGACTAGACTAAAATAATGTGATAAGCAATCAAATCAGAAAGACTCGGGTAACAGGACCACAGTGGTTCAGGGGAGTACCGACAGAATCTGCAGAGATAGTAGAACACCCTGGCATGGCAGCCACACCTCAGCCATGTACTCATGGGACCCTTGATGCGCAACACTGGAGTCCTGCAAGGAGAGCGCTACCATTTGTCTGCCCTGGAAGTCACCCGGACACACACAGGGGCCATGGAGAAGTGACTAATTCAGGCTCCCAACACTGACCACGGCAGCACTGAGCGACCGCTTTCACTAGCCGCAGAGTGCTCTGGGCTCAGGTCTCCCAATGCGCATGTCTAACAAGATGCTCTGTGAGCATGCACAGTTCCCAGCCTGGTGTGGTCCGCTTTCCTCACTTTAGGATGAGCTTTCCTGTCTCTGCTTCCTCTCAACACCCTGACCAATACCATTGTCCAGGTGTTGAATACACCGGCCTATTTCTGTAGACATGTCCAGCTCCACCATCCTGGTAGGTTAAATGCCACCTCCCCGGCTTCCAGAGCAGGGACAAATACAGAGAGGTTTTAGTCAAAACCGTAGCATATTATTTACATTGATTATATGGATATTTATAAGTCATATAGGCAATAGAGTACATGTATATTATGTAGTATCAAATGTATACCAAATATGTTATACAATTTACATTAAATACTTATCATATTACTTATTTGCACAGTGTCAATAATTCTAGCTAAAATTAATCTGCACTAATTATAAAAATTTTTATATTTTGGGCTAAAACTGAGTAAAGTGATATTTTTGACATTCACAAGTTTCACCCATCATTTTCAGTAGCCCACTCCTGTTTACACAATATTTTTTCTCTCCCAGTTCTCAAAAATAGGATCTTCTACCTGCTGTAGACACTTTCCTAAAAAAAAATTAAACTCGTTTAAGAACTACTTTCCCCCTCCTAGTTAGCACAGCTTTGGGACCTCCTAAAAGTTTAAAGTTATTTTTAATTGAATATTGTAAGTTTCCTGTGTTTTCATCCTGGGAAAACATCAGGCTGTCTTCAGCATGGCAGACAAGTAAGGTGGGTGTACAGGCAGAAAGAAGAAAAATTGATCTTTCCCTCGATGGGAATTGCCTGCTTTCCAATCAAGTCTCTAGAGTCCCCATTCCATGTGCTCACAAGGGAGTGGAAAGTGCTGGCCAAAAAAAACCTGACTCAGTTCGTGCCTTGCTCCTACAGACTAACGAAATGTAGAGGCTCTGACTTAAACTGTGATGTTGTATAGCTGCTTGTTGATATGAAAAATCTCTTGAAAAGTTTTCTTGGACATCAGCTGTTTCTGACACTGTGAGTGTGTGTGTGTGTGTGTGTGTGTGTGTGTGTGTGTGTTTCAATGATCTACAAGCCCAGAGATTGCCCAGTTTAAATGTCATGTTAAGTATACCCCGGCTTAAATATTAAGTAGGACGAAGTGCTTAACAAGAATCTGTTCAGGGTTCACTGAACTCAAGGGTTTAAAAGTAATTGAAAATAAAACCAGTCAGACTTACTGTCTTTTGGACCCTGTGACAGGTCACACAAACACACACCAGGAGATCTGTGCTATGGCCTTGTACCGAATTCTCCTCTCCTCTACAAACCATCTACCATTCACTTCAAAGACTGGCTGGCAGAGTTCCCAACCCAGTTTAACTTCACCAGCATGGATCAGGGCACCTGTCGTTTTGCCCAAGGACACCAGCATATTCACGAGCTGGTTTCCCAGGTCTGTGGTCTCCACAGGTAGAGCTGTGGCATTCGGTTACTGTGTGTGATTGGATGTTGATTCCAGTTATTCCCTGCATTTCACTGCTGGATCCCATAAAGGATCCTGATCTAGGCCTTTGGGCTGCCTGGGCAGGGAGGTCATGTGACTTTTCTGCATGAGTGGCTCATCACGCCCCAGCAGAGGCACTGGGCTCCTGCATGGGTCTTGTGATGCTCCGGGGCTGATCTTCAGTTGTTTTGCTCCTTATTCTGGGGGAGGGGGAGGAAGAAGAAGATGCCCAGGGCTGGACCATCTCAGAGCGGCCGCTAACTTGTAACAAATGAGAAGGGATGCTTGCGTGAATCATGGAGGTTTTGGAGGTCTGGGTTCCAGAGACAAGCCTAGTGAAAACTGGCACCAGAGAAGCCCTCACTTCGGATTCCATGCCAGCCTAAAAAATACGGAATTTGAAGAAAGGCATAGAAGTCTGAAGTCGCCCTCAAGGGATCGCCAAATGTTCCAAATGCTGGTCTAGGATGAGAACTTGGAGCAGAGAAATAATGGCAGCCTAACAGGACGTCTGCAGGAAGATGGGTGTGTCTGGTCTCTAGGCACAGCCTAGGGAAGGAGGTCATTTCAGAGTCAGCACTTAGGTACAAGACACAGGCTGACTCTTCAAAAGATGGCACACGGGAGACCCACTCCTCCATTCCAAACTTCCTTTGATCTGTGGATCTGATGGATTTGTGACCTGTAATCTCAAAGACACACGAAATGTCCTGGGTCTTTATCTCTGTGCCACCGACAGCTTTGGTTTTAGGAGGGGGACTTTTTAAAGCAACATCATTTTTAATCTCATCGTTCCCTTTTTAGCAGCAGAAGAAAAAACAATGTACTTCCTAAGTGGGGAGCTTAAGAGTGGAGAGATTAAGTAATGTATGCAAATACATTCAGCTGGGAAGCAGCAGATCTTGTCCAGAGAACCAGGTCTGTCTATCCTTGCCATTCTAGCTATGACACTATCACAAGGACATGGTGACTCATCGCTTATGCCCTGCCAGCCTTGTATAGGCACCATATCTGACCCTCTGAGCCTAACATAGCTACTACTGTTACTGCCGTATTCCTGATGAAGGCTCCAGGTGTGTGTCTGTGAGCCCCCTAGCCACTGGAGGGGATTGGAAGGAGGAGAATGACCTGTGTGGAGCCAGAAGGTTCAAAGGTCTAAGCTCCTAGGAGGTGCCATTTCTGCAAATCTTGAGGTCACACTTGGAGAACAGAGTCTACACACAAGTTCCAGAGAGTACGGGGAAGATAGGCATGGTGGGGAAGTGGCAGGAAGCTGATGGGGGTCAGTATACCACATGGGACTGCCAGGAAGTTGCAACTGTCCTCGAAATGTCCCCAGAGCACGGAAGCTCAAGTGGAGTGTCTCAGAGAATAAACAGTGATGGCGAAGAGCTGGAGAGGTTTGGATGGGGAACACTCCGTTGAAAATCACTCCAAGTCTCTTCCTTGCATAAGTGCCATGCTACCAAATAAGAACTCTGGAGGCCTGACCTGCAGAGATAGCTGGACTCCAGGGATGGGTTGGTTCCAAGCATCGTCTGACTCAAGGCAAAGTAGCATTTAAGACATCTGTAGAAGTCCAGCTTGGATGTGTTGTTAGTTAAGGCCAGGCTGCTACAAGTCCTTAGCCAAGAACACTACAGAATCACATAAGAGATAGGCGTACATCCACTTCCTTCCTCAGCTCTGCCATGTGGGGCCAAGCGTTAGCTCCTGTACCACGAGCGGTGTGCACAACACTCGCTCATACCACACCTGAGCAGAAACATCCAGCCTTGATCTGACATTGGGAAGCCGTCTAGGGAGTGCTGATCTGATTCAGATTGCCCAGATCTAAAGAGGATCCAACAGTGTGAAAGATTCCTCAGCCAGCCCCCAGCTGGTTTCAGGCCAGAACAGAACCGTGCTTCCCAGGTCTCTCCATCAGCAGATGTCACTCCTGGCTAACATGATGTGTCTCGAGCTGTCCACCTCACTGGGTTCTGAACACAGGAGGCCCTGAAGAGTCGGCACCCCTCAATAGCAGCATCAGCCTCCCTCAGGGATCTCACTCTTCTCCCGTGGGTCCCACCTCTAAGCTAAAAAGCCCAAACTTCTGGAGGTGTTTCCCGTGAGCTCGAGCCTTAAAGGAACTCAGTTTCCCAAAAGATTGCAGGGGTGACTTGGAGAAATTTATCTTTTCCCCTGTGACACACAGGGCAAGCAACAAATGTCCCTTCAATGACTAAAACCCAATTTTGCAACCCATGGGACCCTGTCGGGAGCCCATTTGCCTCTATGGTCAAATATTTAGCTGTCTTTCTATGTCTTTGTTCCATTATTATTCTTTCAAATTCCATAAGTATTGAAAAAAAGAACTCCCTTTCCATCCTTCAATGTGGTTTGCATAGTTGTACCCTTTTCCCTCAATGCAGATTCCTTCTGATTTTTTTTATTCCATAGAATGTCAACCTCTCCTCTCTCCAGCAAGGACAAGTCCAAACGGATACCGTGCTCAGCAGACTCATTTTCCATTCTCCATGGCAAAGAATCTGAGCCCTAGAGTAAGTCAGAGCTATCATTTGCTGTGTATTTTTGTAAAGACAGTTTAATTTTAGGCTCTTTAGTTGCAGGAGAGCTAGCTAACCCAAATAAAACATTATACATCTGTCTGTTGTTACGAGTGACCAACTTCAGCTGAACATTCTTCCCTAATAGCAGCAGGCTTTCTTATAGACTAAGGACGACGTGCAGCAACTAGGAGCAAGTGGAAATTTCCTTTGGTTTACCACCCTCGGTCTCGCTTGCTCCAACATGTGAAGAACGTGGGTAATAGGCATCCTCTCCCCTTTAATCACAGCGTGGCTTGGACATGCATTGTTGTGAGGTGATTGGTGAATCAGGGAAATTTATGTCTGGGGGGAAAAACAACAAGGCGAAGAGTGTTGTGTTAACATTCCAAAATGTTCTCCTCAGGGACGCATTTCTCCTGAAGTCTCACAGTCTCGCTTGCCGCTCTTG